ACCTCGGCTCAGGTCCCTTTTCCCCCTGCAGTCGCAGTTGTTTATTTGGGAGATGGAGGAGGAGAGCGAGGGGGGAGAGCCCCTCGGAGTGAGAACCTCCTAGGAAGTGGGGAGCGGGCGCCGGGCTCCCGGACTCCAGCCTTCGGCGGGGCGGTCCCCGGAAAGAAGGGTCTCGAGGCTCCGAGTGGAGAGAAGGAAAAGGCGGCGATCACCTAACTGCCCGTTCTTCTCTTGCCCCGGGGCAGGGGCCTCAGGATGGAAATCATCAATCTGCACTGCCGGAGAAGGTCGGCTGGGTCCGGAAATTCTGCGGGAAAGGGATTTTCAGGGAGATTTGGAAAAACCGCTATGTGGTGCTGAAAGGGGACCAGCTCTACATCTCTGAGAAAGAGGTAGGTGCCCTTTGCCTTCAACTCCCTATTTTCTTATATTCCCCACTTTGTCTCTACACAGGGGGCTTATCTGCCTCTAGTCCCCCTCTTACCTCGCCCCCCATTTTGTTCCAAAAGCAAGTTCAGTGGTCCCATTGCTCTCTACTATCTGCTGGGGAAGGTCACCCTTTAGTGAAAAGACCTGGGTTAGAATTAGAAGTTGAGTGTGATCTTATTTAATGATTTTTCTTTGCAAATAAGTATCTTTCTGACTATGATGATATCCCAAGATGTCCCAGAACTTCTAAGTGTCCCCTGGTGTCCCCTACCCTATCCTGGCCTCTAGCTGAAGTGGGTTATTTTTTCTTTGCTATTGCTGCTGAAACACTCTGTGAACAGCAGCATATTCTCCACCCCTTCCTGTCCCCCCACCCCAGCCTAGCTAGCCCCCCCCTTTCCTGTCTCTAGCAGGGGCACACGCAGGTCAGAGCAGCAGCACAGCTGCCGGGAATCACAGAAATACACAAACACACATACAGCCCAGGATCAGTCCTATATGACCTCAGGTAGAGAATTTGCTAGTGGCAGGCCATTATTTCTGTTGAAGCCAATGAACTATACCTCTCTTTCCCCCTCCTACCCCCAACTCCACTAAAACAAAAAACAAAAAAGCAGCAAGAAACTCATTCTTTACCCCCTTCCTGCTCCCCTATTTGTATCAGAAGGGAGAAAATGGAGTTATGAACCCCTGTATCTGTCTATGTCTTCGGCCCTACAGTTAAAATGAAAACCACAGTCCACATTGGGTCAGAACCTAAGCCAAGACCATTGGATCCAGACTCTTCTCCCTTTTGTCTCTAATTATTGGGATTCATAACATGAAGTAATATTGAGAAACTGAAATTTCCCTTCCATAGGTTAGAAGTCACTCCAGTCCCTGCTTCTGTGACTATGCCAGCCTAGGAGACTGTCCTGTGTTCCCCTGTAGCGTGGCCCTTCCTCCCCCGATTCCGTGTTCCCTCATCAGGGGCCAGCTGGGAAGTCCTCCCTGGGTTCTAACCTCTTCTGCTTTCAGCAGTCGACTATATTTGGGTAAATAAGTTCCTTTTATGGTATTGAAACGGACCCACACACAGTCCTATAGAAAGTATTCATCTGAACAGAACATCTACTGAGACAACTAGGGAAGAGCTAAGTAGTGCCAAGGGCCAAAGAGATCCCTCTTCAAGATGCCTAAATCCCGCTGTTTACAGTAAGCTGAGAACTTGGTGATAGAGGTGAGAGAAGACTTTGACAGGATAATTTATTTTTAAGGGTCACCTCCACGCAACCCCAGTCCTACAGAAAGTTATTACACAATTTGCTGGCTTTCCAGTTTTTAAAAAAAGCAAGTGTCAAAGTGTATCTCCTGTCTTCCCCCGAACTTCATAATGGCAGGAAACTCTAGTGAGCAATCGGGGAGAACTTCCCACACGTCAAAGGGGAACTGGAGAACAGTGAAAGGGTAGAAGGAACAAGACGTTTGTCTTGTTTGTATTTGTCCAAAGAACAAAGTCTGGGTGAAAGAGCATTACTGCTCCTTGTTTGTGGAGGAAGGGGTACAGAGACAGGGAAAGGGTGGAATGACCTCAGCCTAGGATGTGTGGTGTCCTGTGAGTCAGGAGCATCTGACTGGTCATGGGGCAAACTGCCCCCTGCTGAGAAGGGCTTAGGAAAAGAGTAGTATTGATACTCTCTTTGGAGCCAGTTTCCATGCTTCAGTGGGCTTGGGTTAAAGGTGAAATTGACAGAGGACTCCAGGCTTCATTCTTTCCTCTTCCCAAAAGCTCTGGATTCAAGATTTTTAGAAAGAAATGCAAAGTGTCATGTTTGTAATTTACGTGTTAATGTAAGAAAATTCCTACCCCCCTCCCCAAGAAATTGCAACAGTCTTTTTTGGTACTTCCCCTCATCAAGGCAGAGTATCCCACAACTGCCTCCAACAAAGACATCCTGTATTTGTTGTTAATTTTCAGTCACAGGGTACCTTGTGGTCATGGAGCTGCTGTATAGGCCGGAAACTAGACCCTTACCAAGACCTCACAGTAGAGGAAATTGGGTTCAGGGCATCTTTTTTGGAAAGCATGGGGAAATCCCTTTCTGTGGGCCAAGGACAAAGAATTGGGGAAGGAAGGGTTAAGTTTGGAAGATGGGTAATTATCAATGAGACTTTAGGAATTACAGTGGGGAGAAACTACAGTGAAGAACAAGGGTGCTGGAGCTGTCCATCTTCCTGGGGACGGGAATATACTTGTTCTACTGCTTGCCTCGGCCATCTCCTACCCCTGCTCTACCAAGGGCAAACCTCTGTCAGTGTGTCTCCTGTCCTCCAGAGCTCCTTATCAGCTGTGTCCATACCAGAATACCCCCTCCCTTCCCTTCCCTCTTCCCTTCCCCCTTCCCTTTCCTTCCTTCCCCTAAGGAAAACAACAAGTAACTCTTTTCCCCTGGCTACATACACACACCCAGCACTTTCCTCTCCAAGATTTCTGGCCTTTGCTGATAGTCTCAATTCTGAGGAAGGAAGGGGAGAAGAAGAGTGATGCATTATCCCACACCCCTGCCCATGTTTCTGGGAATTGTTCTTGGATGCTCCTTGCCAGCATCTTGTGCATTTCTACCCATAATCCTTCAAGGCCTCCAGTCCCTTCCCAGCTCAAAGCCCAGGAGCCCTAGAAAAGGGAAGGCCCTGGAGAAGCCAAGCCCTGCAGAAACAGAGAGAATGCACAAGCAGCCATTCACCTGAATGGGGCTGTGTGATCGGTTCTGTCATCTGTGTCAGCCCCCTGGGTCCAGCAGCAAGTCACAAGGATAGGCAGTTACAAGACCAGAGATGGGCTGGGGGATAGAAGAGAGAACCACTTCCCTACTTCAAGGCTGTTGAGAACCAAGAGGATAGATAAAGTCACTTCCACACACACAATTCCTGTTTCCGAGCTTGACAAATGGAGACTTGTGAAATCATTCCAGTCAGGGAGAGTGGGTGTCTTCCAAGGAAGATATGCAGCTACTTTTATCTGTTTGTTTAGTTTAACAAGACATGTGTTGGTCTCTCTTCCCAGGAAAATGGGACCAGCTCATTGCCAGGGTCTTCCAACCCCAGGCTCAAGCAGCAGAGGCTGAATGGGTTTTCTAACCACAGGCTGCTTCATCTGGGCCAGTGACCAAGTCTCCTCTCCTCTCGCACGCCCAAACAATCCATAAGCCACAGCTCCTGAGTTCCAGGGCTGTGAGGAAACACCTTAGGGGCAGGAGAAAAAACTCAGGTCTAAAATAGAAGAAATGCTAATGGAATTTGTTTTGTGGCACTCAGAAAGTGCTGGTTGGGTTTGCAGGATGTAGATAGAATTGTGGCCTCTGGTCAGACATTCCTCAAGAGAGTTAAGAGCCAACTGCTGGGTAACTGCTAAGAGTAGAACCAGGGTGCAAGACAGATACTGCAGCAGGAGAGTTAAGTTCAGACACGAGGAGGAACTTCCTGGCAGTGAGGGGACTTAGGCTCTCAAACTGAAGCCGTGGGACGAGGTGGCAGAATACTGCTTCCCAGTCAGATTCAGTCCTCCAGGGAGAGCATGAGTGTGGTCTTTGCCTGGAGAGGGGTGACTGAAATGGCTTTTCAGGCCTGGAAGAGCTAGGTTGGGTTGTCACAGTACTGTGAGGGGAGGAAGAAGTGGTGGGACCACAGGGATATTTTTCAGCTTATCTGAACGAACGGAGCTCAGAGGGCTGCTGTTCCTGTGGTGCTAAAGCTCCTGAAGTGAAGGTGGTAGATGACTCTCTTTATCATAGTGTATCTTCAGGGGGAGAGCCACATAGGGTAAGAAAGTGACAACGGAACAACATAAACGTAAGATGGTGGGGGCCAGAGCAGCCCTTCATGGCTCCAGACACCTCCTGACACAAGCCCTGCCTTCATCTCCTCCCTCTGGACAATCCAGGCTATCCCCATCTTGCTTACTTCAGGATGACAGGATTAACCTGTTAGCTGTGTGAGCCTGTCCTTTGGAGGAAGGACAAAGTGGGAGTCTTGGTGAAGCGCGGCATCCTGGGGTTCTGGACACGGTAGCTTAGGACGAGCAGTTTGAACAGAAACCCACCTGAGGAGCCAGGTCTTGGGAGCTGCCCAGTGCTGTCCCCCACCGTCGGGCCTTTTCGGGCCTTGGGTAGGATAGCCCTTTCCTGTCCTGTCATTCCTCCCTCTCCTCAGGCTTCCCGTGGTTCCCAAGACTGGTCTAAACTAACAGTTTGGGGGAAGAGAGACTAAGTAATGTTATCCTCATCACCTCACCTCCAACCCTCCCCTAGGTGAAAGATGAGAAAAATATTCAGGAGGTGTTTGACCTGAGTGACTATGAGAAGTGTGAAGAGCTCCGGAAATCCAAGAGCAGGAGCAAGAAAAATCATAGCAAGTTTACTCTTGCTCACTCCAAACAGCCCGGTAACACGGTATGTTTCTCCTGCCATTCTGGCCACAAGAACACTGACCGGGCGGGGGGTG